GGGAAATTTCCTTCGGGTTACGACCAACTCGGGATACGCCCAGAGTCACAGAATGGATTAAGCTCGTATCCCGAGGTATCTCTGTATTTATTTTGCAATTATTTTGTTCATTCTCTCTATTAAGACATGCTGAGCTGTCAGAGTTTCTTGAGAAACAATGTGGATATGGGATGAAGTTAGCAAATTGCAAGGACAGGGCAGAGAACTTGAAACTGGAGTGTGTACATATAAAGAAGGGACTATGGTAATAAAATAATATTCAGGGATTGCTGAAGCCTGCAAATATTTTAATGGATACAGTTAGGATTAAGGTAAAGTACTGCGTACCATTGAAACACTGGGGACTTCACCAAATTGGGGAACTTGGTGTGTTCCTGTTCTCCCTAACAATTGCTTTCTAATTAAAAAAAAAAAAATTAGATTTGCTAAGACAAATAATCAAAGCTTGGATTTGAATCTCTTTCACAATTTCACAAGATCAGTCTTCCTTTGTTTAGATCTATTACATATTTTTCTTCTCCCTTAATGTCATAGACACACATATCTATTTTGATTTCTTGCATTTCATTTGGTAATTCATGTTCTTATGTTTATTTATTAAATTAAATTAAATTAAATGGTAATTTGTTTACTTGTATGTCCTGAGTTAGAACCTTACAAACACCATGGTCCTCACCAAATGGGCCCATGGACTTGACTTCCACTGCCCATCGTGGCCTTGGTCAGTTGAGGTTTTCACTAGGTTTCCCTAGGGTGAGAGACAGGGAGGGAGTCTGCGGGTGGATGTGGAAATGTGTGGGTGAGGGTGTGAGTGTTCTCCCCCACCGACCAGTGAGAGCAGTCAGTGTGGGGGGCATGGTGTGCAAAGGGGTTGAGAGGTAAGGCTCCTACAGCGCCGAGAGTGGCAGCTGGAGTGTGGGGGAGCACACTACCACCCCTGATTGACTAATTTAATTGACTGGGTGATTGTTAATGTATGTTTGGATGGAGGGTCCCCTGACTAAGGAAGCCAGAGGCCTGGAACTGGGGGGAATTGGAGGCTCTGGGGGGTTTAGGGTGGGTCATACTATTCAGGTGGTGATGGGAGGGGGTGTTATGATGGGAGTCAGAGGGTGGGGCACTCTGTTTACTACCAGTAGCATGTTCTGGCCCTCTGGACTCAGACCCAGGCCCTGGACAGCAGACCTGTGGAGGCCCTGGCTTTCGGCTGCTGCTGCTTAATGCCAGATCAGTTAATAACAAGGCCCCCCTTCTTGGTGATTTGATCACTGAGGAGTGGGCTGACCTGGTATGTATCACCGAGACCTGGCTGGGCCCTGAAGCGGGGTGTGTGTGTGCCCCTTTTGGAAATGTGCCCAGCTGGGTTTACAGTTTGGCACCAGCCGAGAACCTAGGGTAGGGGAGGAGGGGTAGCTGTTGTCATCCCGGAATCACTGTTGGCCTTCAGGGGCTCTGCTCCACAAGGGATGGTTGTGAGACCCTGTTCCTGAAGCTGGGTTCGCGAGAACAGCTGGGGTGGTTGCTGCTGTTCCAGCCTCCCTGCTGCGTAGCAACCTCCCTGCTGGAGCTGCTGGAGGCCGTCGCAGGGCTGGCGGTGGAGTTCCCCAG